TTCTTGCGACCCGGGTTTGAGTCCCGGCTGGCGCAGATAGATTTTTGTCCTTTTTTTTTCTGGCTGGAACTTTTATATGGCAATATCTCAAGAGTGCAGCTTGCTAGAAAAGCTCATAAACTTTGTTTTTTTTGCAGATGATGCCTTGCTACTTACTACTAAGCCCCATGTCTCACTCCCCAATCTCATGCGCACCCTTCACAACTTTGAACTTCTATCAGGTTTCAGAATCAATGAGTCGAAATCCATAGCTTTAAATATTTCCCTCCCTTCTAAAAATCTTTCCTCCATACAACAATCTGACAACTTCCAATGGAATACTACCTCCCTCCCCTATCTTGGAATACACCTAACTGCTTCGTACCATTCCCTTTATGTGGCAAACTTTCCTCCTATGTTAGCTAAACTCAGGACGCTAATGTCAGTTTGGTCCAGTTACCATCTTTCCTGGTTAGGGAGAATTGCGGCCATAAAAATTACACTCCTACTCAAACTCTTATACCTTTTCAGAGTATTACCTGTCACTGTACCCACCCAAAGCCTTAAAACTTTTCAATTTCAGATAACCAAATTTATCTGTGCAAACAAACCTCCCAGAATACCACAAAAGACTTTATTCCCTCCCAAACTACAAGGAGGTTTAAGCGTCCCCGACATACACAAATTATATCTTGCAGCCCAGATAAGCCAACTCACCAAATACCATGGAACCATCAAAACCCCCCACTGGGTTTCTACAGAAGCACACTACTTACATCCGATATCGGTTGACAATATTATTTGGTTACTTCCTAAATCTAGGCCCAATATAACTGACCCTACCATCTCCCACTCTATGCGTATATGGGACTCCTCCAAATACTGAGCTGGCTTCTTACCCCTAATTTACCTATGCTCTTGTTCTTTTGCAACCCATTGTTCACAGCCGCCCTAGACTCCCCTACCACCTTTGCCTTCTGGTCTACCCATAACCTGACCAGTGTGTGGCAATTCCAAACAGATTCTGGTCTTGCAACCTTTTTTCACCTTAAAGAAAAATATAGGATCTCGAGCAGAGAGATTTTTAGATATATACAAATAGCTGATTATATTTCCAAAACAGCTAGATTCTTACAATGAGTTTAATGGGGCTTACGGCTGCATACTCCCATAGAGAAAGACGGGGGCTGCGTACTAATCACACGAAGCACCTGTCCTTCCTGGGAGCTGCCCAATACGGCCGTGCACGCAGCACGGAGCTGTACTTGCAGGCCGATTCCAGTGTGAATGAGGCCTTAAAGGAAACTATGTGGTGAGTGCTTTTCACTCACCTCATAGTTCTAGCCGACCTGTGACAATGAGACTGTCACAGGTCGGCTCAGTAGATCAGGAGGTGAGCGAACACATACCGGCGTTCACTCACTTCTCGATCCTGTCACGGCCCTCTGCCGTGACAGGGGAGGGGCTGGATTTCCCCCTCCCCGCTCCGATCCTCCAGGGCTGACTGACGGAACGGACAGGGGAGGGGGCGGGTACAGCTGGCTCTGCCTCTAGATAGGCCGAGCCAGCTGTCACTCACACAGCTGGGCGGATCCAGACATAATTGTCGGGATCCGCTTCAGCTGCGGCGTCTCAGCATACCGCGAGTTGTAGCTTGCGGTATACTGAGCTTAGGGTGACGGGAGGACGCTAGTTTGTGTCCTCCCGTTACCCTAAGGAGAACTATGGGGAAATGCCCTAACCCCATAGTTCTCCTTTAAAGTACAAAATAAAATATCATCAAAGCAATTGGAAAAAAAGGAGAGCACATTTTGCTAACACAACAGTTTTTCCAGTGTATGGCCCTTTAACCATAAGCGCCAGTAGTGTAGGGGTATCATGCAAGATTCCCATTCTTGCGACCCGGGTTCGAGTCCCGGCTGGCGCAGATAGATTTTGTCCTTTTATTTTCTGGTTGGAACTTTTATATAAAATATTCTTTGAATTGAATTACTACTTTCACTTATTAATACTTTAACGCTGACATACTGTATTAAATACTAAAGTGAGCAAACTCAAATAATTCCGCAGCCAGCCATGTGACCCTAAATCTCTGAATAGATCAAGACTGTAGTGTCCTAAAGCAGGAATTTAGCAAACGAAAGGATATTAACTCTTATTGGCTGGATGCTCTAATTGAACAAAGGCAATCAGACACATTAAAAATGACTGTTAATGCAGGATTATTTTGTTAAGATCTCCACTAAGTATCCCCACTGAGCACACAACACTAATATAGGGTTCGAAGTTAGGGAAAAAAAGAGACTTGCGCTAGCCGGGACTCGAACCCGGGTCGCAAGAATGGGAATCTTGCATGATACCCCTACACTACTAGCGCTGCTTGTACATTCACAGCGTTCTCTGGTTTTAACAGCTTCTCAGAGAATAGAGCATATTCCTATGCATTCAATATTTTTTCAATTATTTAATATTGTTAGGTTTTATATACATTTTTGTTATTTATTTTATATACGTACTATGTACATAATATGCATTTCTATTGGCTCTAGCTATTTGGTCTAAATATAATACAAGCATTTCCGTTTTTCATTGTTCCTTCCACTATTCCATGCTACAGTATCTTCAATCCTTTGAAGTTATATAATATGTTTTATATATAGATATGTATTTCTCTTGGCTCTAGCTATATAACAATCCATCTCCAATTAAATCATTACATGCTTTCATTGTTCCTTACACTATTCAATGCTGTGGTATCTTTAGTCACATTTGTAGTTGCTGCTCAGTAGCTCTGTGAGACGAATCAAGGGAGCAAAAGCTGTAATCTGACGTGCCATGCGTGTAAAAATGATAAATATGTGGTTATATAGGTATAGCTGCATGATCCTGAGAAGCTGAAGAAAACATTCAGCAAAAGTGAGTCGAAGGCCCCAGCGAGATTTGAACTCGCGACCCCTGGTTTACAAGACCAGTGCTCTAACCCCTGAGCTATGGAGCCGTACGTTGTGCTGCAGAGCTCTGTGTGGATACAAATCAGTACTGTGTTAGAAGGACTTAGTTGCTTTCGTTTTCAATGAAATAGGCAGTGATGAACTGGTTTCTGGTTTCGTTTTTCTAAGAAGAGATCCAGGACTATTGTTTATTTCTAACTATAATGCTTTCTGGATTGCAAAAAAGGTAGCTAGGCTTAGTAGGGAGAGTGGGATTATAGTATTTAGGAATGCAATGGAATAACTATGCAGTTCCATATTAGAGTGGTCAGTTTAGCTAACTGAAGGATGAATGATGTTGGTGCATTATTTCCACTTTGGACCCAAGAGTGTATGCTAAGATCATAAATGTGCATGCTTGGCTCATATCAGCATTATGATTTATTATGGCGGTTCTAAAGAGTAATTTTTTTTTTGAGGGGGGGCTGGGCAAGTATATATGTTAAGATCTGCTATCACATCTGATGTGCAATTACTTATTTTGGGCTTTGCTATGGAGGCTGTTAAGAGCTTGTACATTAAAATACTTCCTCTTTTTCCAGTAATTTCTGCCAGAAGCAGTAAAATAAAAAGAAAATCCTGCTTAAAAAAATGTGCATTTTGGTGCATAAATGTGTAAACTCATTCTATTGGCTAGAATAATAATTGATTGTAGCCACAAGAATTAATTCACATTTATAATTTTATTATGTCAGTAGACTCCTGTCTGAATGTAGGTTCATGGGTTCTCTTTGTTCATGCCCCTGTGTGCTACTCTTAAATACGGATCTAAATTCCACATTGTCCATGGGCACATTGGGTGAAAAAGAGCTGCATTCAGTGGCAAAAAAAGCTTTCTTTTTGCATCATCTGCACGCTAAAATGCCCCAAACTCTGCCACTGTCTGCAATATTTTTTTTATAAAGTTCCTTGTAGAAGAAGACTTTTGTTACTGGATGAACTAGGTGGCAGCCACTCTGAAGGGTGGGGGACACTTTAAGGACAACTAAAATGCAAGTCGGCAGGCAGAGATGTGGTCAGCAAACAGGCAAAAAATTGATTCAGGTGTCAGGCACAGAAGTGGTCAGCGAACGGGAACAAGATCTGTCTAGTCAACAGGCAGAGACGAGGTCAGAAAACAGGCAAATGATCGATCCATGTGGCAGAGAGAAACATGGTCGATAAACAGGCATGGGTCAGTTAATTCGGCAGGCGGATACATAGTAAGCAAACAGGCAAAGGATCAGTCTAGCCGGCAGGGACGTGGTCAGCACATAGGCAAAGGATCAGTCTAGTCATCAGGCAGGGACGTGGTCAGCACATAGGCAAAGGATCAGTCTAGTCAGCAGGCAGGGACGTGGTCAGCACACAGGCAAAGGATCAGTCTAGTCATCAGGCAGGGACGTGGTCAGCACACAGGCAAATTATCAGTCTAGTCCGCAGGCAGGGACGTGGTCAGCACACAGGCAAATTATCAGTCTAGTCCGCAGGCAGGGACGTGGTCAGCACACAGGCAAATTATCAGTCTAGTCAGCAGGCAGGGATGTGGTCAGCACACAGGCAAATTGTCAGTCTAGTCAGCAGGCTGGGATGTGGTCAGCACACAGGCAAATTATCAGTCTAGTCAGCAGGCAGGGACGTGGTCAGCACACAGGCAAATTATCAGTCTAGTCCGCAGGCAGGGACGTGGTCAGCACACAGGCAAATTATCAGTCTAGTCAGCAGGCAGGGACGTGGTCAGCACACAGGCAAATTGTCAGTCTAGTCAGCAGGCAGGGACGTGGTCAGCACACAGGCAAATTATCAGTCTAGTCAGCAGGCAGGGATGTGGTCAGCACACAGGCAAAGGATCAGTCTTGTGAGCAGGCAGGGATGTGGTCAGCACACAGGCAAAGGATCAACCCTGTATGCTTTTCTGTTATGTCCATTTTTTCTGTTGTCAATTAAGTTTTACACTGATTTTTTTTTTACAGCCAAGGCGCGGTCCATCTACTCTCACGTCATCACGCAGGATCATCTGCGTGACATGGAGCGCGCGCGTTGGTCACGAGCTTTGCAAGGGGCAACAAGACAGCGAGCACGCACACGCCCAGCCCCGCCAGCCAATAGCTTAGTTTGGGCGCGGGAGCGCGCCCAATGTTCGGCCAACCAGGAGGAAGGAACGGGAAGAGGAGGGAGCGCGTGCGCGCGCACCGGAGTAAGGGGGGGGCGGAGAGGCCAAGAGAGGGAGCAAGAGACATGCTGCGGTGTCAGGTGAGTCGGTACTTTGGTATGAGGGGTTATGGCTGGGGTCGGCTTCAGTGATCAGGTTAGCTGTGGAGAGGTAGAATCCATGACTCCAGAGAGAAACAACATTACTTTGCTTCACATGAATACATAAGCATAGAGCAGAGCTGCTCGCCTCCTCTCCTTTTTGGGGTCTGAATAGGGGCCACACATGATTAGATCCAAGCCACAAATTTGGCCACCTAATTTGGCAATGGAGTCATGTAAAGGTGTGATCATGAGCATTTGCAACAATTTTTGAAAAAAGCTCTGGGAAGACTTGATCGGCTGGTTGAGCAAGTGAAATGCTACATATTGTCTGATATCAACCCCCGGTTGTTTTAAACAATCTCAGCAGCTGATCTGAAGATGTTCTTAGTATGCAGCCACTTGCCCTTTCAATCCTTTACTTTAGTCCGGTTTATGTAGGTGCCCTGGTCGTGGTATACTATTTCCTGTGTTAAGGCGGCTCTGTTCCCTTGCAGGGTCCTATGGTGCCACCCTTGTGTGCATGCTCCCACCTAGGACTAGAACAGTCTCTTCCCGTGCTGTGTGTACTTGCATTGAGGAAAATAATTATTTGATCCCCTGCAGATTTTGTAAGTTTGCCCACTTACAAAGAAATGAAAGGTCTATCATGGTTATCATAGATGTATTTTAAATGGTAGAGACGGAATATCAACCAAAAATCCAGAAAAAAACACATTATTCGCATATGGAAGGAATGCAAAATAACCATCAACCGCCCTCGGTCTGGAGCTCCATGCAAGATTTCTCCTCATGGGGTAAGGATGATCATGAGAAGAGTGAGGGTTCAGCCCAGAACTACACGGGAGGAGCTTGTGAATGATTTCAAGACGGTTGGGACCACAGTCACCAAACAAGTCTTGGTAACACAATACACCGCCATGGATTGAGATCCTGCAGCGCCTGCAAGGTCCCCCTCCTCAACAAGGCACATGTACAGGCCCATCTGAAGTTGGCCAATGAACATCTAAATGATTTAGAGGAGAAAGTGCTGCGGTCAGATGAGACCAATATTTAGTTCTTTGGCATTAACTCTACTCGCCGTGTTTGGATGAAGAAAAATGTTGACTAGGACCCTAAGAACACCATCCCTACAGTCCCTACAGTCAAGCACAGAGGTGGAAACATTATGCTTTAGGGCTGTTTCTCTGCTAAAGGTACAGGCCGACTTTGCCGCATTGAGGGGCCAATGGACGGGGCCATGTATGGTAACATCTTGGATGAGAACCTCCTTCCCCCCAGCCAGAACACTGAAGATGGGTCGTGGATGGGTCTTTCAGCATGACAATGACCCAAAACATACTGCCAAGGGAAAGAAGATTCAACCAAAATCCCTCCTAAGATGTGTGAAAACCTGGTAACCAACCACAGGAAATGTCTTACCTTGCCAACAAGGGTTTCTCCACCAAGTACTAAGTCTTGTTTGACTTGGGGATCAAATACTTATTTTACTCACTGAACTGCAACTTAAATTGATAACATTTGTATCGTGTGTTTTTTTTTTTCTGCGTGTTTGGTTGAGCTGTTTTTCCTGCAAAAAGATGTATAATTTTGTCTATCCAGTCCAGTACATAACACAGCTATGTCGCATAGCCTGGTAACCTGACCTTTCTCTGCTGCATTTAGCGGTAGTTTTGTCACCTCCCTGCCCTTAGCCTGCCATTGTCAGTGAAAGAGCAGCAACAGTTTACTATCCTTCTTACGTCATCAGGATCTGGCTGTCCCTTCCTGGTTCTTGCAGCCGCACCCTGATGACATGGCGCATGCAAAGTAGGCTGACCCGAAGTCTCCTGTGATACGTGATGTAGGTATCCAAGGTGGCTGCGGGAAGCTAGGAGCTATGTCATTATCACCTAGGCGAGAATTATTGGTTAGTGCTGGCATGGAAGTGCTGCATTACAGCTACATTACATCTGCCCCTTGGTCTTGTGTTCGTGCGATTGTTTTGCCAGTTTGATGTTCAGAGCTCTTCTCATGCTGGCTTGAGTTATAACGTTTTTTTGGGCGGCTTTGTGAGCTCTGAGTCTTTTTCATCTTGTTTTTCACGTGGGCCTGTTAGGGTTTGTTTGCTGTGTTGCTCACCCCTCAATTGGTGAATACTCATGTTTAGGGATGTACTGATACTATTATCAGTGCTGATTCCGAGTATTGGGGCGAGTACTTGTAGTCGCCCAAATGCTCCGATGCCTAGCCCGATACTTCCAGTATCAGGAAGCTAAGCAGCGAGTAATTCCAAGCTCTCCGGCTTCCTGATTTGGGCGGAAAGCTGGCTCCATGCTCCCTCGTCACTTGTAATGAGGGAGCATGGAGCCGGCTTCCCAGCCAATCAGGAAGCCAGGCAGCGTGTAATGACTCGCTGCCCGGCTTCCTGATTGGTTGGGAAGCTGGTCAATCAGCAAGCCGGGCACCATGTAATGACTGGGAGCACGGCTTCATGCTCCCTCGTCACCTCATGACGAGGTAGCATGGAGCTGGCTTCCTGGCGAATCAGGAAGCTGGGCGCCGCGTCATTATATGGTGCCCGGCTTCCTGATTGGCCAGAAAGCCGGCTCCATGCTTTCTCGTCATGAGGTGTTCTCATCATGAGCATTGGGACGGCTTCCCTGCTAATTGGGAAGCCGGGTGGCGAGTCTTTACACGCCGCCCGGCTAATCAGGAAGCCAGTTGGCAAGTCATTACACGCCATCTGGCTTCCTTAATGGGACTTCCGGTATCTGTATTTGGTATAGACTCAATGGCGAAATTCTCGGCGGGTTTTTGAACATGTTGGCTCGACAAAAGACGTGCGACCGTACAGTAGAAACGGTTGCGCGTCTTAGTTCACACTGCTCGATTCTCGTACGATCGCGGGATTTCGCCCGATTGTCGTACGAGAATCGAGCAGTGAATGGACACCTTTAGTCCCATTCTGATTGGTGGCCTTCATTGCACCAAGTACATTTCACCAAGTACAAGTACTTGCCCTCATGTACTTGTTGATGCCAATTACCGATACTTTTTCTTAAAGGGACATGTGACTTTTTTTAATAAAACAACACAAACTGATGATTTTAGGGCAGTTTCTCACCAGGGCTAAATACAGATATCTACAGTTGATCGGGTTGGGTGCCGGTTTCTGGGGCTGTGCTGTGTGTAGGGCTGTCCATGGCTGTGCCTCTGCCGGGAAGGAGGAGCAAGAGGTATAGAGCCGGACAGGCACTGCCAGGGACAGCTGCTGCTAGGTCCCCAGCAGGCTGCCGAGGACCTGACGAAAATTTAAAGGGCTGGCAGCGGCCTTAAGAATCGGGGCACTGGTACCGGCCGCGATACTAGTATCAGTATCGGGACATCCCTACTCTTGATGTTAATGCTGGCTGTAACTCTGTCTGATAAATATGGGCATCCCTGTGGGGGAGCGTACAGCCAAAACTGAGCCACTGCCCCTTCTTTAAGCTGACTGTTTTTATTTACTTATTACATAATATGGAGCAACAATCAGCAGTGCTGATTGTTGCTCCATATTATGTAAAGAGCTGTGTACTACTACATTGTAGTACAGAGCTGTGTGATAGAGCTGTTGGCTGCTAGTAAACATGGATGGCTCCTGCAGTTCTACAAGGTCACTCAACGCTGCAAGGCTTTGTGTCTATACGCTGGGTGCGGTGTATTTACATACAGCCCTGCAGCTCTGGGTGATCTGTTGTGAATGAAATTGCTTGTCTTTAGAGTGGCCCCTGCGCCACAGACATGTCACTCACTCAAAACTCTGTCTCCTTGGTTGGACCTCACTATGGAAACTGTCCAACCACACTGCTTAGCAATGGCAGGATGGATTTAAATGGGACCAAGGTCTATTTTCCCTGGGGGATAAATAATACATTTTTATTTGTGTGACTACTTGAATGTACTGAAGATGATGTCACAAGTAATTTAGTTAATGGGCTGTAACCGCAGTCTTGTGTAATGTGTCCTCAAGTATGACTCCTGAAGTATGTTCCCAGTATGCAAAAACTCCTTTAACATAAGCATATGAAGTACACTGGCCAACACTGTGTTAGAGGCTTTATGACCTACCTGAAAATGTACCAGCAGGGGTGTGGAAATTAAAAAAACCTAAAAACTACTTGTCCAAGGACTAAAGCGGGGGTCCGATCTACTTGTCCTGATACAAAAAAGAAAAAAAATGTAACCAAAACCGTGTTTAGCAGTGCCAAGAAGAGCTTCTCATTGGTCAGTGCCGGCAGGTGACTGCGCTGACCAATGAGTGCTTGCATTTTGCGAGCGAAATTCAGAATACATGTCGCAGGTACAGATAGTCCACCTGTACTGGCGGATGGGAAGGACCGTTCGCTGAAAGGTAAGTATAGCAGGGAAGGAGAGGGGACCAGATTTGTGCAGGTAATTCCATTTTCCTAAATTACCTGGGAAAGTGCATTTACCCTTTGGGGCGGGTGCAGACTTGGGCGACCGTGTCTGCACCCGTGATGATGTCACCGCCCTATTGATGTCAATGCGGTTACATTCACGTGGTAATCGCTGGAAAAGGGACATGTACCTTTTTTTGCGACACGCTTCGTGTCGTGTTTTCAACCGAGATTGTGCGATAGCACAGGCGCTATTGCGGCAGGAAACTGCGCAATCTGCCTGGAGCGACTGGGGTACCATTAGACAATAATGGCACTGCCAGCGAGATCGGCGGTGGTGTGTGATTCTTTGACCGCCCGTCCATCCACACGGTTTTGTGCACAATAGCTGTGCGTTAACATCACACACACACAATTCCCCATGCATGCGTTTATTCGCATGCAGATAGTAGGGGTTGGTTTTAATTTTTTAGGTTTTTATTTTACTTCTTTTTTTCCCCTTTGTAATTTTTATTTATTTTTATTTTCTACTTTATCGTCTCTTTTGTTTTTTTCCATTTTTATGTATTTCCATTTTTATTTTTTCCAATTTTATGTATTTACATTTTTAATTGTTATATATTTAACTTTTTTTTTTCCACTTGACTTTATTGCCCACAAGCCCTCTATGTGATGGCGTTGTACGGGTGGCAGGTTCTCTTTATGGAGACATTAGATTCCTAATGTCTCCCCTGCCCTGCACTTCAGCTAATCAAGCAGAGGATAGCATTTGATAGTCTGTCACCCTGCATTTCACCTGGCAATATGATAGAACTGAACCTAGAAGTGCTCCGAACACAGCTCTTCCGGGATCATTGATTGCAGAACATCTGCTCCCTCCCACTATCTTGACCTAAGGTACCATGGTACATGAACTTGCTGGAGGAGGAACTGGCACCTTAGGGTTAGCTGGGAGCTGGCTATCAAGAAGCTGTGAGCTTGTTTTAACAACTTGAAATCTGATATTTGTAAACATCATCATTTAGATGTCAAGTGGGTAGTTTTGTTTTTCTTGAATAAGTTTATTATATATTTCTCCTTGTGTTGGTATTTTTTTAGGTTAAAAATCATAATTGTAATCATCATAATTACCGTATTTTTCGCTCCATAAGACGCACTTTTTTCCCCCCAAAAGGAGGGGGAAAAAGTGCCTGCGTCTTATGGAGCGAATCCCGACGCCCGAGACATGCAGTTTCGGGCGCCGGGCGAGTAGTAGGAGCCACTGCTCGTTTAATACGAGTGATCTAACGAGATCACTCGTATTAAAGCCGAGCAGCGGCGGCGGCGATCGAGTTCAGCAGCAGGAGCCACTGCTCGTTTAATACGAGTGATCTAATGAGATCACTCGTATTAAAACCGAGCAGCGGCGACGATCGAGATAACCATAGAGCAGACGAAGAATAGACGTTCTTCGCCTGCTCTGTGTCATCACTGAGACCGTGGCGCTGTAATCACAGCGCCACCTGTCTCAGCGGTCACTAACTGCAGCTTCTGTCACAGCTTCTGTCATAGAAGCTGTGACAGAAGCTACAGTCTCGAGTGCTCCATAAGGCGCGCCGGACCTCCCTGCGTCCTATGGTCTTATGGACTGCAAAATACGGTATATTCCTGCATTAAAGGAGAACTATGGGGTTAGGGCTTTTCCCCCATAGTTCTCCTTAGGGTAACGGGAGGGCACAAACTAGCGTCCTCCAGTCACCCAAAGCTCAGTATACTGAGACGCCGCAGCTGGAACGGATCCCGACAATTATGTCTGGATCCGCCCAGCTGCGTGAGTGACAGCTGGCTCTGCCTATCTAGAGGCGGAGCCAGCTGTACACACCCCTCACCCGTCCATTCCGCCAGTCAGCGCTCGAGGATTGGACAGGGGAGGGGGGAATCCAGTCCCTCCCCTGTCACGGCTCTCTGCAGGGACGGGATCGAGAAGTGAGCGAGCGCCGATATGCGTTCGCTCACTTCCCGATCGACTGAGCCGACCTGTGATAGTTTAATTGTCACAGGTCGGCTCAGATTATGAGGCTGAGTGAATAATTCTCCTTTAACACACCTTCTGTCCATTAACCCTCCCGGTGTTGTATGGGGCAGCAGAATTGTTACTGTAGGACAAAATGTGTGTTCAGACTACAGAACACATCTCCCTCACCGCTATAACATGGGGGAGGGGGTGGCTTTACTGCCTTTCCTGTGGACCCGGGACCAGCATGGCGGGTGGCGACAGAGAGGGCACGGAGACCGGCATACGCCCATTTGCTGAGCTCCTCCTGTGAATCAATCTGGAAACAATGATTTTTTTTTTTCATTTCTGTTTTCTGAGCTGTCATTTGGGGGAAGAAGCTGGTCAAGCACAGATCGTTCAGTGGTTGTCAAAGGTGGCATTAAGGGTCTAATAGACCCCTGGGACTAGAGAGTATTGCTTGGCTGCATTGTCATCAGACCTAGCTATGTTGTTTGGCAAGGGAGACTGGCAGAACAGAATCTCAAATCCTCTGGCAGTTACATCAGTTACCACGTTGATACTTTGAGGGACTGCTTCTCCCACCTGATCGGGACAGGAAAGCCCCGTCCTTACCTTCTCAGTGTTTTTCTTGTCCCTAACAGGGTAGAGATTAGATAATTCTTGTTGCCCCATGTTTGAAGTCCATTTACAGTAAATTGATCCATTGTGGTGAGTTAAATCATGCCAGGTATGGCATGCGTTAACGTTCATTGTATTATCACAACCGATCCATTATGAGTGGGCTGCCAACACGCCACAACTGATGAAAAAGCATGCATCACCCTTTTTTCAAGATGCAGCACAATACAACATGTGGTATATGTGTTGTGTTATGCTGCAGTGCATCATGCATTGTACTTCATAGTGTGTTGGATTGCTATTCACAATGGGCATGGTAAAATACTGCACATAGAGCAGGTACGTTGGCATGTTTTGTGCCACTTTTAAGGTTTATCTAGCAAGTATGCTCTTCAGGTGAAGACCCACAAAGGTGGGTGTACAGTCCTCACTCTAGATAATGCCCGGATATTCAGCTTAGCTGCAGGGACCTGTAACAAGACCTGTACCAGTTCATTGCTTGTCTGGGGTTGTTCCAGGCCAATTGTATATGTTTGAAGGATTTTTAACTATATTCAGTGCAGATGTTAATATTTTTTATAGGCTCTGCTGCCTAGGTTGCAGACGCTTATTTAGACTGGAGGGTGCTGAATGGGAGGCTTTACCTGCTATACTTGGAGTTTTGGAAAAATTAGGATGTTTAACAAACATGGCATCTGTGTCTTTCATGCCAATCAAACTCTAAGTCAGAAGCTTGTAAAGGCAAAAGATCAAGACCATAACAAGCGAGTTGGCATATGCAGTGAAGTGATGAATGCAAGACCTGCACATTGTGGAGACAAAACAATCTCTCAGCAAATGAAGAGCCCAACAAGGGCAAATTGCAGAGGTCAAGACTCAACATTTTTCTTACATCTCAAAGTGACACGAAACTCAGGAGTTAAGAGAACCATGGGGTAAGTGTTATTCCCCATAGTTCTCTTAAGGGTCAAAGGAGGACATATACTAGCGTCCTCCCTTGACCCAAAGCTCAGTATATCGCGAACTACAGCTCACGGTACTGTATACTGAGACCTCCACAGCTGGGACAGATCCTGACAATGCTGTCGAGATCCGGCTGTGTGAGTGACAGCTGGCTCTGCCTATCTAGAGGCAGAGCCAGTTGTATCCGCCCCCTCCCCCGTCCGTTCCTCCAGTCAGCGCTGGAGCATCAAAACGGGGTGGGGGGAATCCCTGCAGGGATCCATGAGTGACAGTCACTGCTATCTGCAGGGAGATGATCAAGAAGTGAGCGAGCAACGTTATGCGTTTGCTCACTTCCCGATCTATTGAGCCGACGTGTGACTGTTCCATTGCTCAAACTATGAGTGGGTGATTTTCACTCACCTCATAGTTCTCCTTTTAAATCTTAAACATGCATTCAAGTATCCTAACTATTAACAAAAATGTATTTGCCGGCTGTCAATCAGCAGAGAAGGGAACTTCTCCTTCAGGTCCTCCTCTGTTGATTGACATTAGGCATTGGGCAGGTGCAATAGCAAGCCTGCTATTGCAATTTAAAATGGCAGGCTGGCTATTGCTCCCAGCCCGTGGATGGGAGTTTTGACGCCTGCTTTCTACCGCTGGCAGTTGGTCGGAAGAGGGGGGAGCCGCAGGGGCATGCCGAAGCGCAGCGGTTGACAGCAGTCTCTCCTTCCGGCTGGGTGCGGCTGCAGCGGTCTGTGTCCTCTTTAGATATTGACGCCCCTGCCAATATAGCGGGGGAGAGCAGCAGGTATTGGAGGGGACATCGACCATGGAATGCAGCGGCTCCCAGCGAGGTGGTGTACACGGGGTAGCAGAGTGGTGGCGGCAGATTGAGGTGTGGAGTTCTCACCGCTGGGCATCGCCTGCAGGGCTCTGCGTACCCTACCATCCCCGGTGGGAGCAGGGAAGGGACACAGTGCCCAGGAAACAAGCAAAACCAACTAATCGCTACTGAGAATTGTTGACAACTATTCTCATCGGATATTATCGATTAGTTGTTGCAGCCCTAATGTAATGGAGTTTTCTCAAATCTGAGAGCAAAATTTGAAAAATGCTTTGAATCTTGCAGCACAGTTTTGTGTAGTCGGAGTCCATGAATCAGATATTAGTTATTAGTACAGTGATCCTTCTGTCTTGCTGCTTAATTGCTTATTTCATCCATTTCAGTCTCTCGAGGATGGTGATGGCTTCCCAGGCCTCGAAGAAGATGAGGAAATTGACCAGTTTAATGATGATACGTTTGGAGCAGGAGCAAATGGTGAGTGACAAAGCAAGTCTGTAAAAGGACTGTGTGCAGGGTACCAGACAGACTGTAATTTAAACCATGATCCTAAAATGCGCTCTTTTAATTAAAGGAGCAGTCAATCCAAAACAGAGAAGCAGGAACACACAAAGGTTTACAGGAAGATAGATAGAAAACTCCAAAAATAATAAGAGAAAAAATTAGGACAAAAGTTCCACTTGGCGATAGAATTAATATGCGATTCTCACATAGATGTGGTTGGTGGGACATTCCTTTGGGGATATCAGGCAACCAAGTGATCCACAGCTTGCAGGGATTATTTCTGTCCAGAAGGTCACACTCTATGCTCATTGGAGTATGTTTTGGATGATCCGGGGCTACGCAGCTTAAAGGGACCCAGTGTGTTCTGGCAGGAGAAGGGGATTGTTCCCTCAAAAACCGTGGGATTAGGACAGCATAGGTCTATATTATATGCAACAGGAGATGCTGCCAGTCTGTTTAAAGTGTCTCTCCACACCAGGGCTGCAACTAATGATTATTTTCATAATCGATTAGTCGGCCGATTATTTTTTTCGATTAATTGATTGGATAAAAAAATAAAATAAACCTACCATCCTTAATTTAAAAGAAAAAACACAAATCCAGTGTTACAAATGTAAAGTTTACTTCAGAATAAATTTGCACGCACAATGTTTTGCAATCACGCTGCACTGGAACACAGGGCATTGTGGTACCATGCATTCCAGTGTGGGTGATCACACTGTGGGTGGCACATTTGGGGTGCCTTTTGAAATGAATGGCACTGCAACGCACCTCGTGCAGCAGAATCTGTCAGGCCGAAAACGACTTTCCCCCCCCATCTTTTAATTATTTATTTGTATACATTGTAAGCACATGGCCCTTGAATAGCTTCAGCTAGGAATGACAGCTGCCAGTGACAATATTCCGCAGACGGCAGCTGAATGTAAATACAGCAGGTAGTGGACTAGTGCAACAGCCAACCTGCTATTGGCCATTATAAATTGCAATAGCCAATAACAGGCTGGCTTTTGCACCCGCCCATTGCTTGCTGTGCCCTTCTTCCAGCATAGAGGAGAAGGCTAGGGGATCCAACCAAACAATCGTTAATGAGAATAGTTGCCAACTATTCTCATTATGGCTTAGTTGGTTGCAGCCCTACTCCACACCCTCCTAAAGAAGTGGCCATGTAAGAGCCACAAAATGCGTTGAGATGGTGTATTACATGTGTACTTCTTTTTGAATCAAAGCTTCTAAACTGATGTAACACTTGGACTCCATTGCTACTTCTGCCCCTACTCTGGAGCATGTACTTGCATATACAAATGATCAATTGTAGCTTCCATATTTCTGTCTGGAAAGGCAAGTTAGCAATGCAGCTCTTAATTTCTGTAGTCCTTAGTTCCCTTTTAAGTGCATGTTCTTGGTTTTGATCTTGTTGGGTTCTATTAAGTCCACTGTTGTCAAACACTGTTAGCCAGGTTCTGCGTGGCAAGCTTCTTTCCATAGATAGTGACATCCTTCTGCACCTCCCAGTGTCTACAGTACACTCTGTGCTTTCTACCAGCAACCCTAGCAGAATATGGGCAAAGTGATTGTCTAGCAAGGTGTGTATTTGAGCCTTAAGGTCCCCACACACCTTACGATAATCGCGGGAAATCCCGCGATCGTACGATTATCGTAAGGTGTGTGGAAGCCGTGCGACCTCTACTACTGTAAAGTTGCATGACTTTAAACTTATGAACATGTTTCAAAACCCGCCGAGCATCGTACGATGTTCGGCGGGTGTGTAGCATGTTCGTAAGATAAAAGCCGGACGGGCAGGTGTGCGCAAGCGCACACTGCCCGCTCGGCATTGCGGTCATCAGAAGCCCGCCCCTCAGGGGGCGTGGCATGTGATCATCGCAAGTACGATCTGCCTATGCAAGATAGGCAGATCGTACGTTTTTTTTAAGTACCTTACAACCATCGCAAGACAAAAGTCTTGCAATGGTTGTAAGGTGTGTGCCCAGCCTTAGTAAGCAAGCCTCATATCTTTCACCAGAATTCCAAAACTTGTGAGTACATTTGAAAAGCAGGGAATGTGACATTGTAAAACATTCACTGCTGGTGTATCTTCCTGGCAAGATTTATGTTTTAATTTACAGTGACTGGTTCAATTCAACTGCAGTGAATGTTTGGTAACTTCTCAGTATTATTGTATTTTTAAAGAGAAATGCTTTAGGTGAAAACCGATATTCCGTTTTAAATGTGCAGAACTGTTTGAGAAAATCATGGCTAACTGCCTGTTCTCAGTGTGCTGCAAACTAGCAGATGTATATAATGAAGTTCCTCTGTGTTATAATTGTTTGCAAATTGCTATGAAACTCATTATTTGTATCCATATTTTTTGTACCTGCACCTTTGTTGCAGCTGGTTCAGCTTTTCAGTAGAAACATAGGCTGCTGGGCGAACACTAACATATGACATTGGGTGATGGATGTCCTCTTGCTGTGCAGATGATGATTGGCGGGGGGAACATGAGCGGCTGGCAGAGATTGAGGAGAAACACACAGACTCTCACCTTTTGGCCAGAAGTTCCTCCCCCAATACTGATCCACTGGGGGAGCAACAGGAGGAACTGGAGTACAGCCTGAGCCAGCTGGTGAGAGAGGTCGAGGAGCCAGCCCTGCCAACAGGGTCACGCACCCGGGTAAGTGGATGGTAACAGGCCTAATTGCAAATTTCCCTGATCATTACAGATTGAATCACTTCATTTTTTTTTCTTTTTTGTTTAGATGTTATAATCCACATTGTAGGCCTTAAAATTACTTAAAACCCCCATAAATTATATATTTTCTGAAAGCCAAGACCCTAGAAATGGTAGAAGTTGCAAATTTTTATGTTGCACAATATTAGCGTAACTCCTCATCAAACCCCAACATTTTGTGAACAAAAGCACATAAATGCCCCAAAACACAACATACCCCAGAGATGAGGTTACAAGGAGTAAATAGATGCCCAACATGCCCAGGTTAAAAATTGTGTGCATCCGTGAAACTGACAAAATTCAGTACTCCAAAAGTCCATAGACAATGCATTAAAAGCCCCCACAGGTTATCAGTTTAGAGATGCATGTAAATATTGGCCCTGGAAGGATTGCAATTACTTCGGCGAGCGTGGTGATACCCAGCATGTGTAGCGCGATCGTCGTTTTCATACGTAGGCGCACCCGACGCATGTTTACGCGAAGATGCGCATGCTTGCGGGGAGATTAATTTTTTTAAAATTATTTTGACATTTATTTTATCATTAAAAGGAAAATACGTTTTAAAATTACTTTAATTGCTATCACATAGGGGCAGCTTAGAAGCCCCTCATGTGATAGCATATTGGCAGTGACAGGTACTCTTTAAGGTGATACCTGGGTTCCAAAAGACCCCTATTATCACCTTTATACTTGAAATAAGCTATTGAAGTGCAGCTTGCACTTCAATAGCTTATAGCTGGGCTTCAGGAGCCCAACACTGACAGCTATGGGACTGGAAGTGACGTAATCTGCATTGCTCCCGGTCCCATAGTACGGGGAGGAGATCGGTGAATAGAGGTTTGCCGATCTTCTCCCCAGCTTCCCCCCTCCCCCCCCCTCAGGCAGGGGGGCCCAATTACCGGCCCGCAGAAGTGATCTGGCGGCAGCTGAGCCGCCAGAATCGCTTCTACTATAAAGCCGACAGTCTATGTTTAAACAGAGTCCCGGTGGCAAAAGCTGCCGGGAGTCTGTTTAAACGGGCCCGATGCCAGGGATGTACACTGTACGTCACTGGTCATGAAGGGGTTAATGACTGTATATTCTTCATAAAGAGAAGCTGTCTTTAAGATAAATAATACTGCAGGTACCTAGAGGTGTCTGCAGCTGCCTCTCGAACATCCCTGTCATGGTGAAATCCTGAGCCATTCTAACAAACACAACTTTGGCATTTCCTGATCCTGGTTCCTATTGGCCAGTAAGGCTGCCCATCATACTAATGTGTCATTATTAATGAGGGATGGGGGTGCACTTGGCAGCAATTATCCTGAAAGTGTTGGAGCAATTCCTGTCGCAACTGACCAGAATTCTGCTGTTTGAAGGTTTGGGGCCTGTTACAGGTATGTACAGGCACCCCTTGATACCTGAACTTTATAATGACAGAATTGTTTTTATTTTTCCCATTACAGTCTCATTTTGTTTTTTAATAACCATTTTCTGTTGGTAATTTGTATATGTATTTTATGTACTTGGCAGCAGAAATTTTGCTTATTAGGTCCATTGGCTCGATTTCTGCTTTGCAGTGCTGCTACATAGTGGTTAAACTTTACTGCTCCTTCTCACAGTGCAGGGCTGTGAGTTGGCCGATTTCATTTAAATCAGTGCAACAGTATGTGGCTCATGTCTTATCTCAACAGCTGTTAAGCAGGAAGTAGACTAATAGTCTCTAGTGGCTAATCTAAGCATCTCTACCTTTTAATACAGTGGTTCTCAACCTGTGTTTCCTTGGTCATTAAGGCGTGACCCAAAAATGATTTCATTTCTGAAACATTTTAATTTATTACACAAAACAACTTGTGCAGTATTCAGCAACATATATATCTATCTATATCTATCTATAGATATCTCTAGATATCTCTAGATATCTCTAGATATCTATACATACATATAGATAGAACATTTTGAACAGTAAACAACTGAAAGTAAAATAAAAAAGTTTATAAAGAATAAAAATTAAATATTTAAAAAAATAAAAACGTGATTAATACAATGGCAAATATATAAAAAATGGAAGCGGGTAAATCCTAACGTCACGTTTGTCTAATAGAATTTTACAAATCTAGGGAGGATGTCACAAGGAGTAATAGAAGCTTTTTTGCATGATGGGAACAAGATAAAATTAAAAATAAAATGCTAGACATGCTGTAGATGTAGAGATAGAGGTTTTGGGTTACATGCCTGCACACTTCAACTGCAGTAAATACAGATAACCAGTGCTGAAGGTACCTGCAACTGTTTATATACAATATTTATGGAAATATGGTGCAACAAGCAAATACAAATATGAAAATTAACACTGGCATTGCCCAAATAAATATTTATTTGTTTTTCACTCACTGCTGGCTTTGTGACTCGGCCTTGTATGCAGAATGGGAGTTCACTGACTTCTCTGGCTACATGATGCATTATGTTTTGTGTTTGAATGCATTAGATCAGTAAAGCAGTCATGCCTTTAGCATTTTCAAAAGTAAGTTGGCAATATTGGTTATGTGCTTAGATGAAGATGAGATCTTGAGGAATGCTTAATTAAGTTTTACTTGCTTAGCAGGACATTATATCAGAATACAGGAGTTCAGCATCAAACAGGAAACATATAGATCATAGATAAACATGAATATAGAAAACTAGCATACAGACTAGCTTTGTACCACAGTGCCATCTAGTGCTCAAAAGACAATATTACATTAGCTTAGGCTTTTGTATTTCCAACAACCCTTCTCAACAGCATATGGCGTTTAGCTTCTCTCAAAGGAAAATGTGATGGTCCTTTGGCAATGGCTTGGTAAATGCATCCGCAATCATTTCATCTGATGAGCAATATTGCATATCATTAATCGCTTGTTCTTGAGTGTCCCTTAGCAGATGATATTTCACATCAATGTGCTTGGTTCTAGGGTTGACCCTTTGCGATTGTATCAGTTTTATACATCCCTGGTTATATTCAAAGATTGGGATGGGGTTTGACATGTCTATGCCCATGTTCATTAAAAGCTGGTGAATCCCATATTGCTTCTTGACAAGTGTGTGCTGCTGCTATGTATTCAGCTTCAGTTGAGGAAAGTGCAACAGTTTGCTTTCGGCTAGACAAACTTACTGTTCTTTCCCCATTCCGGAAACTGTACCCACTTCTGGATTTGCGGTCTGTGCAGTCTCCAGCTCAATCAGCATCCGGACATCCAACTTGTCTTTGATTTGACACTGCTGGCAGTTGTAGCTCCATCCACATGGTTCCTTTTAAGTATTGTATTACCCTCTTTACTGCGTTCCAGTCACGCTGACAGGGTGCTGTGACTTTTCTTGCAAGTATGCCCACTGCTCCAGCTATATCTGTTCTTGTCACATTAGCAATGTATAGTAGCCTTCCATTTGCCCTGCATACATGTCATTGTTGGCTAGCAAGTTTTCTGCTGCTTTGCTCTTTTGGTAGCCTGTTTCCATATGTGTTTTTACTTCCTTTGCATGTGGAATTGTTCCAAAGTTTCTAAAATGTTTTGACTTTGGTTGGGAAGATAGCTTCTATCTTCTCTCTATTTGAATTCCCAGACTGTGACGTTCCCTAGCTCTTTAATTTCAAAGTCTTGTTTTAGTTTGTGAACTATTTGACTATAGTCCCCTTCTTGTTCATAACGGGTTATAATATTAACATAAATTAGGATGCATATCCAGCTGTCATCTTGATTCCTGGAATAAAGTGATCTGCTTTGCTTCTTGTGAATCCCTCTTTTGTGAGTATTGCATTCACTTTCTCATTCCACATTCTTGCAGATTGCTTGAGTCCGTAGATGCTCTTGTGGAGTTTACACACAAGGTTGTGTCCTTGTTCAAATCCTGGTGGTTGCTCATGTAGAGATCTTCCTTAATGTCTCCATAAAGGAAAGTGGTTTTAATGTCTAGGTGTCTTACTTGCATACCCTTCCCGGCTGCAATGCTAAGGATTATTCTGACGGTGGAGTATTTTACGATGGGAGCAAATGTTTCATCATAGTCTTCACCAATTTTCTGGGAATATTCCTTGGCCTTGTATTTGTGGATATTTCCTTCTGCATCGAGCTTCACCTTAAAAGTCAATTTGCTTCCTATGGTTCTGCGATCAGGGGTAAACTATGTGAGTGTCCAGGTTTTATTTTCTTGGAGTGATTTTATTTCTTCTTCTGCTGCCTTTCTCCATTGATTGGCTTCAAGTTTTGGTAATTTTTCTATGTCTTCCCATGATGTTTGTTCGCGTATGCTATGTGTCTTCGCAGTAGATGACAGCTTGCATGAGTGGTATTCTAATTTCAGGTTGCTCAGCACAATTTAACATGGAACTTGACATATCCATTGCGAGTTCCACCTCTTGTTCTGACTCCTGTGCGGCTTAACTTTGCTTAGCTTTCTTTGCTGGTTCACTGGGCAGATTCACTTCACGGCTGGCCAGGATCATTTGTCAGTCTTTTGGTGGAGGATTCTATATCCCTTACTTCACTATAGCACACCAGAATACCTGCAATGGCTGTGTTCTACAATTTGGATCACTTCTCCTTTGGAGTAAATGCATAAGCTTTACATCCACACTAGGCTAGGCTTCGTTCCATGCCACATTTCAAATTGGGTGCTTTCAATGGCTTTTGGTGGTAGTCTGTTCTGTAGGCATGTTGCAGTCATGACTGCTTCTCCCCAGTACTTCTTGTGTAGGTTGGCGTCTGACAGCATGCATCTTGCCATTCTATAAGGGTGCAATTTTTCCGTTCTGCTACACCATTTTGTTCAGGAGTGTATGGTGTGGTGGTCTGGTGTACTGTAACTTGTTTCTTTAGATCGGATGCCTACTGATGTATTCCTCTAAATTGTAGGTGCGTATAATTCCTGGTTTCCGTTGGAATTTGTTGCTGGACATGGCTACAAACTATTGAGGTTTTTCTGGTTTTTCATTCTTGTGCTTCATCAGATAAGTTGTTTATATACCTGGAATAATCATCAATTAATGTCAGTAGATATCTGTTCCTGCCTAATGTTTGGAGTTTTTATTGGTCCGCACACGTCACTGTGGATGAGCTCCATGGGGTGGGTGGTCTTTTTTTTGGTGGCTTGTGGAAGTGAGGTGCATGTTGCCTTTGCGTCCATACAGCATTTGCATGTCATGAGCATTTGGCAGGGCAGTATGGTTATATCTTCTGATAAGCCTCTCTTTATAAAATCTTTTATGGCTTCTGGGTTTCGGTGCCCTAGTCGTCTGTGCCATAGATGGATACATTTGTTGGGTGGATTATGACTGGCTGTCTTGACTTGTTTGCGGTGATGAGCATATTTTCTTTCCTTCTATTCATCGATTCATTTTTCTTTGGTGTGTTCTAGTGTTAGTTCCTGTCTGGTTTTTAAAGTGTTAATAAGAGCACTGGATGACTCTGGAAGGCTGCATGGCAGTAATGCTACCACGTGGTTATCTTTTAATTTCCTCTCCAATTGCACGTAGTTGTTCTACAATTTCCAGCATGGGCATTCACATGTCCACGCATTTCCTGGCCTTTTTCTAGCCTTATCTTCTATAGCTTGTGTAGCAGATATATTTTACTGGTTTAGGTTTGAACGCTCATGCAGTTTCTTTAATGTAGTCCACATACATTTTAGCTGTATTTTTTTTTCTTTTATGGATAAGCTAGTCATCTTCCACTAGCAGACTTGTAATTGCTTTTGCTTGCCTGTTCTTCTTGTCCCATTCCTCCATGTGTCCATTAGTGGGTCTGTCTGTACTCAGTACCTGCCACAAGTCGTCTTTGCTTAGCAGCATTTCAAGCTTGAGCTTCCATAGCTGGTAGTTACTATTTGTTGAGCTTCGCAATTGCACACTTCATATCCGAACTACTTGCTGTCTTTCAGTAGGTTGGATGTGGTTCTGGTTGACTTGTAGTGTTCTGTTTAGTGCCGTGGATCATAACCTGTTATGTGTTTAGATGAAGCACTGAGATCTTGAGGAATGCCTAATTAAGTTTTACTTGTTTAGCAGGACATTATATCAGAATACAGGAATTCAGCATCCAGCAGGAAACGTATAGATCATAGATAAATATGCTGTAGAGGACTAACATACAGACTAGCTTCGCACTACAGCACCATCTACTGCTCAAAAGACAATATTACATTAGCATAGGGCTGTTTTCCAACAGGCAATAGTAGCTTACATGTTTGTTTCATCACAGGTTACCTTTAAAGAATAATTCCAGTTTCTCACCAAATGTGAGACTGAAAGGACGCCACAAATATTTGCCCTTTCCCCTGCCCCGCCAGTCTTACCTTTTTTGTTTCAAAGCGCTGTTCCCCAATGCCGCAACCAGTGTACCGCCCATTCACAAAACTTCAGCCCTGCAGTGAGCATTTTGAATTACACTCAGAAATGGCGAGCACTCATTGGTCAGCACAGTCACCTGACCACTGACAATAAGAAGCGCTTCAAGAACAGAAGCAGAGCTTAATCTTGCATTAGCTACACCTGTCAAACATGGGATTTGCTCCTGCTTCCTGTTGCATCTCTAGGAGTCCATAACGTGGCAAAATAAAACGGAAATAACAAAGGTACTAACACCCCTTTACCACTGTAAGCAAAAACAAATGTATCATTTTAAGATTGCAAGTTTGTGTTATTTTGATCTTCTATTTTTTGTTTAGATTTCTTCTAGGATTAACTCTAGTATATGGGATCCTGACTTGCGGCCGATTAGAGGGCCTTTGCTCACCGAGGTAAATGGAAAAAAAAAAAAATCTGCTGCTTGGAACTGGTAAATGTTATACAACCAACAAAGTTTTTACTTGAGCTCCTCCCTTTTGTGAAAAGATTAAAGGAACAAAAGCACGTTATGGGATGCGATATTCACAACCTGTCTCGTGTATGAATGCACTGAAAGAGCTGTTTGTGCATTCCACAGTATCCACTCATCTTTCATATTCCAACCTTCCCAAAAACAAAGGAAAGTGTCAGTTCACATGGAGACATACCGGCCTGAGACTTTCTGACGCAATGCTGAGTTTTGCCGTGCTGCCTGCTGCTCCATTCCTATGCCGGAGACTAAACTCAAACCTTGTTTTAGCTCTGTCAGAGCTTACACAGGGTTAATGACTTTGTAATCCGCACTAGACTGTTTGGGCTTAGGACTGGTCACCTGGGAAGAGGTCACATGCTCTCCCATACCTGGAAGCATTGGGTATTTTCCAAAATGCTCTCATGGAGCTGGGCAGAATGAGCATCAAAGGTAAGTGGTAGGAGCTGTGTAGGCTTTCTAGAGACTCTGCCTTTAAAGAAGTCCTGCAAAAAGTATTACATTTTTATTTTTATCTGCCAAGGGACCAAATGTATATAGCATTTTGGTGCTTTTCGGATCAGTGGCGCTATTGTGGAATACAAGCCCTTTTTTTCAAATGCTGGTTAGTCTAAAGCCTAAAATATGGGTGTTCCTTCGGGGGAGGTACAGGCCGCACTAGGCCCCCCGTCCACTCTTAGCTGGCTGTTCATTTAGTATTAAGAATTAACAATCAGCACTACAGGGCTGTGTGATGGAGCTGCTAGGATTGTTCATTCATAAATCTCACTCAATGCTGCAGTGATATGTGATCTATCTGCAGGGTGTGCTTGTAAATACACCACCCCTCAGATAGATCATAGCCCCCACAGCACTGAGTGAGCTTTTATGAATGAACAATTATGGCCATTGGGGCCAATAAGTTGTATACCAAAGCCCAGCCAGCAATGATCAACCCTAAAGGCTCACTTGGCACTGCAGGGCTTTGAACTATTTGCTGGGGCTTTGTATTTACATCTTAAAGTTGGACTCTCACTCGGCACAGTTTCCATTCAGGGAACACCTATTGCTTTTATCAATCACTACAAGGTGTTCTCTGATTATGTGAGGGGCAGATTGTGACGCCATGATACACCCCTCGTCCAATCTGAGAACACCTTTTATTCAGCTAGCCAGCACAAAACACAAATTGTTAATAAGCTGTTTATAAAATGTAATTATAAAACAAGTATGTGACTAAGCTGTATGGTTTATCAGTTCCAGAGAAAAGTGAGATTACCACCTAGGTTGTGTTGTCTGATATGGATGTCTAAATCGTAAGACTGTCTAGACAAAATTACAAATGACTATCAAATGAGCCTGAGGTGGGTGAAAGGTGCTTTGAACAGGGAGGGAAAGTTGGTGGGCAGGCCTTTTGACCAGATAGGATAGTTAGTGGATTGGGGGTGCTTTGACGGAGAGAGGCACTGTGCCAGTGAAGTGGGTAGGAGGGGGGGTTGTTTTTACGGCACTGTGGAAGAGAAGGATGGATGAGTTAGCATGCACTGTGTTGCTAAATATGCAAGATAGGAATTTTACCTGCTTGACACTAGAGGTGCATTGAAATGGAAATTTCAAAACCGAAATAAAAAAAAATTTCAGGCCAAAACCGGAAATGTGTTTTTATTTTAATTTTTTTAATAAATTTTTTATAAACTTTCATTTTTTTATTTTATTCATATTTTATTAAATATTTTTTTATTTTTTACTTTTAGGGGCTTCGGGAAAATATTAGGGGTCTAAACAGACTCCTGATATTTCCCTTTTAAAATAGAAAAAGAGATTGAGGACACTCTGTATCTGTATCCCCCTATTCTGTATCCGCCCTGTTATCAATGAACAGGAATCCTCTATGAATGTTCCTGTTCATTCATAACTTGAGAACATTGTGTGTTTACTATAACTACAACTATGAATGAACAGGAGGTGATATAGATCACTCCCATTCATTCAAAATTGAGGATATAGTAACCATACCATGTCCTCTATTATCTAAAAACACTCAGCGATCACTGAGTGTTTGTACTCGCTCTCCATCCTGACACGCTGTCACAGGAGGCTGATGGAGTGGTGCAGGGAGGAGAGCTCAGCCGCCTGTGACAGCGCGGGCTGTCTCCGCCCCCACACCCCTATGCCGGACTGTGATAGGAGGCTGAGCGGTGTGGGAGGAGAGACGCTGGCCGCTCACAGCGCTCTCTTCCCGCAGCGCTCGGGCGGCTGTCACACTTTCTCTCCTCCCCGCTGGGACACAGCAGCGCCCAGCGGGGAGGAAAGAAAGCAGGGATGCGCCGATGTATCGACACAAAAATGGCACTTTCGGCATTTAGCCAAAAGTGCAATTTTCGGCCGATATATCGGCGCATCCCTACTTGACACTGTTTAGTTGCTGATGCAGTGATACTTTGCTGCCGCAGTGTGCTGTCCTGATGTTTGAATTATCATATTATATCTCTGTTCCGGTAATTTACGAACAGTAGCTCAATGTCACTGGAACTAGCAAATACATGGTATCAGACTTGCAGAACTCCTACCTGCATTCAGCAGCACAGTGCAGGGAGTGTGTGCACAGCAGGCAGGTTGCTGCGGCATGGGCTTTGAGCAGTACTGGATTGGGGGTGAGGAGCATTGGTCCCAGGCTCAACTTCCACTAGTCAGCATTTGGATCCCTAGCTACTTCCTGTGGGAGAGGAAGAAGGGGGATCCACGGGATGTGCTGCAGTGAAGACCCTGGTTCTTAGCAGCAAAAGTTGAGTCGGGGATCAGTGCACACTGCAGCATATGTGTACAGTAAGGAACCGTTGAAAGTCCATGACGGAGCTGCTGCTGTGCTCCCTATGCTCACCCACTTTATGATATAGAGCCAGTCGGGGGCCAGAACAGCAGCAGCAGAGGAAGGGCTGGCTCTGTGTGTGTGGGGGAAAGTGAGTAGATGGGGTTTAGTGAGAAATTAGGTGAGATTTGTGTGACGAGATGTGTCAGGAAAGTCAGAAAAAGGGCTTGGTGTGCAGCAGGTGGACTTGGTCTCCAGGCCTGTGCTGCACTCTGTCCTACTGATGTTTTCCCTCTGGGGGACTGGAAACAGGCAATGATCAGAAATGTAATTAAGGATTTGGTAGCTGAAAAAAGCTCCCATGTTTGTATTTCAGTTGTGTATTTGGCTTTCTGCCAACAGCTAAGCTTTAGAGGACCAATCTCCACCTCCATTCTTGATTTCTTATAACTGTAGTGTTATTTTGCGAGGATGCTTTTGTCTTCTAATACCACCTCCTGTTCATGTTTCTCATTGTCAGGCTGACAGAATCTGTTATCTCCTGGCTTAGTTTAATGCTGATTGCAGACTCAAAAACACAAATAAATAAATTGTCATAGATCTTTTAGGAATACATGAAAGAAAACTTTGTTGATTTGCTTTCCCTTAGCTTCATAATGACGTCTTGGTTTTTGTTCACATTAAAGGATATGAGCCCATCGTCACTGCTGCATGAGTATGGCCTTGCTCCCATGCCTCCACCTGGCCGCGATGACCCAGAACAAGACGCTTCAGAAAGAGCTTTGCCCCGCCGCTCTACTTCACCAGTTATTGGAAGCCCTCCTGTGCGAGCTGTACCCATTGGGACTCCACCAAAACATGTTGTCCCTATATTCACTCAACAGCAGGTAAAAACAGCTCAATTGGGCTCATTTCTACTAAAATAAATAAAAGCACAGTTTAATGGTGATGATGACATAGTTATAGAAATGCATGCTGGTAAGTCTTTCTGCTCTGGGCTTTTGGTTTTCACGTGGAGATGCAGTTGCTGGTAATGTGGTGTTGAGGAACACAGGTCTTTAATCCATGTGAATATGCAAGCCAAATGTTTACAACACTGCTCATTTCAGGCTCTTTACTGGCTTACATAGAGACAAGAGGCTGAAGTTCCCACCCTCTCCTTATAGACACCCCCTGACTACTTGCATAAGCCTCTTTGGGTCAACCATATCTGTGGCTTTACCAGGCAGTGTTCTGCCCCAGAAAGGTGGAATTCTCAGCAAGTGCCTTTGGTGAAACCTTCAGCAGCCCCAAACCAAACTACCTCCTAGGGATCAGCATAGTTGGAACAGGTGAATATAGCATAGTAAATAAAATTCTCTTTTTATAGCACTAATATTCCTATATACTCACCTGAAAAGTCTTGAAATCTGTGATTATTTTTTTTTTGGGGACCTGTGTCTGGCACTTTCTTCTTCATACTGTAAGGGGCCAGAGGGCCAATATGTTGTGGTGAAGGGATTGACATTGCATAGTGCATTGAAAACCAAGCCTGTCCCCCTTTTTTGGAAACACACGAACGGTAATGTGCTGCAAAACAGGACATCAGGTTTATTGGGGTGACCATCAAAATGACAGTGCAGTGCGCTTATGCTAGTTATTGTAGTGTACACTCACGACAATGCAAAGGATATGAATCCGGCCTTAGCCAGGTTATGGTTTCCGCTTGGGCGGAACATCACGTTTCCAGTTCTGTCTGCTGTGCACATTCCAGGCATGGAAATTTGCCAGGCAGGCTTCCATGTTCTATAACGTCTGGACTCGGGTGAATGTTTTCAGAACCCTCTAGCCAGTGGTTGCTCTTGGTGACCCCATGGGGTTAGTTCAATCTCATCTTTGCCTTTTCTCCTCTGAAACTCCTACTGTGTCGGCTTCCCAATGAGAATCGTTGCACTGAATGCTAGGAAATCCACTTCATGTAAGGTCTACTGTCACACTTGGAAGGTGTACTTCTCTGGGTGTGAGGTGAGGAAATTCCATCGCAAGAAATACTCATTGGGATTACCTCTGCAAGGCATGTTTCTCAGCTGGTGGTTTTGTGCCTTCCTGGTGCTCTACAGAGACAAGGTTGTCATGAGGCCTTAAGACACTGCTCTCCAGGGTGGTTACATCCTTTTACCTTCACCAGGACATTATTCTCCCATCGCTCTGCCCTGCCCTGACTGCCCAGGGAAATTTCACTCCACTGTCTGGATGTGGCTTGTGCTGTTCAGGTTTACCTCTTGATAATGGCTTCATTCAAATCCACTGATTTGTCATCCCTCAGGGCCACCGTAAGGGGTGACCTGTGTCTGGATGCACCGCCTCTTGGATGCACCGCCTCTAGGGGAATTAGACACTTAGACAGGGTTCCTCCCTTTCCAGCCAGAGCACGTTAGTGCTAGATTAGTTAGTGGGCGTTTCATCATTAGCCCTGCCAATCTCAGAAAGATGCCTAACACCTGGTCTTCTATTCATGTTTGTCAAGTACTACCAGGTCCCACTGTTGACCTGTTCTTTCTGGGTCTGTTAGAATTTGTTGTGGAGCCACTGCTCCAAGCTCGCTCCTGTTATGCACTACAATCTGCTGTTTAGTTTACTGATCTGCATTGAGATTGTAGTCCATGGGAGCGAGCTCGGAGCAGTGGCTACTTTATAACACGCACACAGGGACCATGGAGAACACAAGTAGCCACCCTCCAGAAGGAAGGACAGTGTCTGCAGGAATTCAGAGATGATTTGAGGATCTACAGCTGAGTGATGCACAAATAAGATACATTTTTGTTAATAGTTAGGGTGCCTGACTGCATTTTTCAGATATAATTTCTAAGTTTAGTGTCACTTTAATGACTAAGGAAACAAGATTAATTTATTGGCATTCATTAGGGGCACAGGTCACACCCATTTGTGTTTATGACCTGCTCCTGCTTTTGCTTCTCCACAAAACTGGAGTATGATGGGAGTGGAAGGGAGTTATACTTAACTGTCCACATTGTTTTAAAGTCCATTCTGGACACTGGAAAGCATAAATACGTTGTCTAAATTTTATTCTGTCCTGAAACAAATTCATGGCAAGCCAGAATCCCTTTTTACTTGCTTTCTGCTTCTGCCAAATTCTACCCCCATCCTGCCCGTGTAAAAAGAAATAAAGAAACCTAATTTTTACTTACCCTCTCCATGCTTTTGCATCGTCCGAGACATGCCCCTTGGTTCAGTTTCAGGCAGTCGTCTTCTGGGCAGGACACTGCGTTAGCCCATCCTGCTGTTTACATGCTCCACTTAGGCCCCGTTCACACTTAGCGATTTATCGCGCGGTAATTCCCGCAATATCGCGGCAATTTACTGCGCGATATCGCTCTCCAATGCTTCTCAATGGGGCAAAGGGTCCTGCTGTCGCGGGTCGTGCGTCGCTACAGCAGGACCCTTTTTGAAATGGATTTAGCCGCGATTCAAGCTTGTTCAATGCAAGCATTTGTGCGATATCGCGCAAAATGCAAATCGCGGGACAAACGCGCGGTTTGCGCATCGCGCAGTGTGAATGGGGCCTTAGTATTCTACCCCCCCTCATCCCGTTACCACCAGAAGAAAGATAAGCCAGGAATGATGTCACAAGCCAGAGTTCTAGAAAATAGGTAAGTATGGAGGTTTAGGAGAGAAAATGCTGAGCGGTTGGTACGCTTCGAGGGGCTCTCTGATTTCTGGAGTTTTTGCTTTAATACTTTGGGAACACTAAACTGCAAATCTCCCAATCTTATTAACCGCAATTCACCCCAGGTGCCTTTCTCTTTCCTTTTTTGTCCTTGTTTTTGTTCTCTGTAAAAGCAGACCGGCCTTTAACCTGAAAGGTATTAAGATGGAGTCCAGCTTTTTTTTTTCCTGTCCATCTGATCCTTAATATTTCCTGCTTCCTCGAATGATAAATCAGCCTTTTTGGAAACCTGGGCCAAGGCTGCATCAAGTCTAGGACACTTGAAATACTTTTCTTCTTCGGCAAAGGGAAACCTCCTTTTCCAAGACCTAAATCCCCAAAACGTTATTTCTGGGTCTGCGTAATACCAATATTATACTCCATGGCCTTAAAGTACAAACTTTGTTCCCTCCCCCCAATGTTAATTAAAGCACTTACCTTAAATGATGTCTCCTAATCCAATCTTCCTCTTCTTTCCTGTCCTTTTCAGCCTTCTCTGCAGCGCTGCTGCAGGTCTTTGATCCAGCGCTGACTCCTCTGTACTTGCTGGCACTTCCTGTCCCACGGTGTCTGCATGCGGGTACACGCGTCAATAGACTTAACTTTCGTCTCCCGGCCGAAAATCCGAACTGCGCATGCACCCGCCCCAAGATGCTTTGCGGCCGCCCAAGCGTTTTCGGATTTTCGGACGGGAGTGCGCGGCGAAGACGGGTACGTTTTTAAATCTTTTTTATTTTAACTTTTTGCATATATCTACTGCTTGTTAGCAGTAGATATATGAAAACAAACCGGAGGGTTTAGAAACCCTTTAACAGGATTTTATTGACAATAATTACTCATGTATCAATGTTATAACATGTTGGTGTTATTCAGTACGTAACATATACAGTATTTAAACCATAGCTCTGTCATTTAATGTATAATTTGTCCAGAGTACTGAAGTTCTCTTTACAGTTCCTGAAAAGAAATCCTAACTAGTTTTCTTGTAAGGTAATGCGTTTTTTTTTTTCAATTTACTACAGGTTTTGTGCCCAAATCCTATCCACATTCGAGCTGCCTCATTCAACAATCATCCGGTAAGTTGCAGTTAATATCTTTTGTAGTGCAGGTATAATGGATATAAAAGGTATAGTAGGCATGTCAAATCAAATTGAGGAATGTATCATTGATTTAGTAATTTGTATACATTCGTTATATGTGTGTGAAAGAGCTAGCTAGTTAATCTTTAGTGAGTTTTCATATTTTAAAATAACTCCTTTTACTAGTTAAAAAAAATAGCATTTTTACAAAGGCTTATTTAAAAAAAAAAGTAAAAATTCTAACCCTTTATCACTACCCGTGCTGCCAATCTCTATCTTCAAGCGCTACCCTGGGGGTGTAACTGATGTCTGGTCCTACACTCTGGTTACTTCTGCTAAGCACCTACATCACAGTTGTGTTCTGAAGTGATATAAGCTCTAGCAGAAGAAACCACAGTGGGGTACAAGGCATCTGACCAAAAAGTCAGATGCAAACCATTTTCAGCCACAGTAGTGCTTGTAAGACCTTCTTTTTTTTTTTTTTTTTACTTGTTAAATTGGCAACAGACTTTCTTTTTATAGCTGTGCTTGTTCAGACATCTTCCAGGATAGTACAACACCTGACTATGTATGCTGTCCTGGACATGGCGTTACAAGGTATGAAACACTGGCTTTTCTTACCTTATAATTGCAAAAATAAGATTTCTTTCCAGTTCATTAAAGGGGAACTATGGGGTTAGAGCTTTTCCCCATAGTTCTCCTTAGGGTAACGGGAGGACACAAACTAGCGTCCTTCTGTCACCCTAAGCTTAGTATACGACGAGCTACAGCTCGCAGTGTACTGAGACGCTGAAGCGGATCCCACCAATTATGTCTGGATCCGCCCAGCTGCGTGAGTAACAGCTGGCTCTGCCTATCTAGAGGCAGAGCCAGTTGTACCTGCCCCCTCCCCGTCCGTTCTGCCAGTCAGCGCTGGAGGATCGGACAGTGGAGGGGGGAATGCAGCCCCTGTCACGGCAGAGAGCCGTGACAGGATCGAGAAGTGAGCGAACGCCGGTATGTGTTCGCTCACTTCCCGATCTACTGAGCCGACCTGTGACAGTCTCATTGTCACAGGTCGGCTAGAATTATGAGGTGAGTGAAAAGCAGTCACCTTTTATAGTTCTCCTTTAAGGGACACAGGGAGTCATTCACCTTTAGGTTATACTGCCTTCTGCCGGATGATTGGACACTGGCAACAAGACTGTAAGCCAGCCCAGGGTAACCCCTTCCACTACCAGAATTTCTCAATTTTTGCTAGTGTCCTAGAAGGATGGATGTCCTTCAGCTCTGCTCTGAAAAAGGCTAACCTATGTTTGGTTGTACCTTTTCTCCCAAATATTTGTCTTCAATCAAGACTCATCTCTACTGTACATCACAGCTAGAGCTTTTCTTTTTGATTGGAATGCCTGATCCCCACTGGACTGTATGTTGCAGCGTTATGTTGGTCATGGCTTTCCAGGTCCAGAGCCGCTGACACTGCCTCTGTGCTTGCCCTGTCTCTAGACTCACATTGTGGATAAGCCAGTTGAGCTAACCACCAAGAGCTACCTAATTTGCATAGGTCGCTCCCCATTTCCCGCCAGTTTTCACTGCAGGAGGGGTTAATGCTGTAGGATTGAGCGTTTACATCATCCTCTGGGTTGAGTATTATGCCCTCTTTCCCCGCCATACAGTACCAAGGGACCATCTCCACGCTGTTTGGAAAGAGCCAGCTGCCTGTGTTCTGTGAACACAAAAGGTTTTATTGCCTCTTAACCTGATCCTTAAGTTGCCTTAATGTCACAAGGTTGCATCATGTCTGATTGTAGACATGGGAGAAGTCGTCCTGCGGCGACTGGTGCCCTCAGCTCACACTCTACTAACATCTCCAGGGCTGCTTACAGCACGCCTACTAATGGTGCTGACGTCTGCAGCCTGCAATCTCGTGTTTTATAAAGTATATTAAAAAAAGCCAAGTGGTCCATCGATTCTGCCCCTTTTTATTTATTTTTAAACCTTTTTTAGATCTACACTTGTCTTAATGTTTAATTTCACATACTGTTGATTGACTCACTGCCCCCGCTGGAAGTCTTTTCCAAGCATCGACTACTCTTTCAGTAAAAAAAACAAACCCTTCTAAGGTTAGTTTTGAACTGCCCTCCTGCTAGTTTGCGGTGATGTCTCCCATGTTCTTGAGATTGGCTTCATATTGAAAATGCTGCACTCCTAAATCTTATTCGCACCCTTAATGTCGTTAAAGGTTTCAGTCTCCTCCATTTTGCCTTCTTTGCTTGTACATGTTAAGTTCCTGTGTTGCGGTTTTTTTTTGTTAACCCCCAAATCTGTCACAGTCTCTGGACTTATTCTATCTTAATATCTGTTTTGAAGTTAGGCCTCCAGAACTGGACACAATATTCTAAATGAGGTCTAACTTAAAGGGTAATTCCACTTTCCCAGGCGCATTTAGGAAAATGGAATTACCCCCACCAATCTGGCCCCGCCGCTTTCACCTTGCATATGGTAAGCACTCATTGGTCAGCGAGGTCACCTGACCGCCCAATGAGAAGTGGTTCTTGATTTACCTGTAGCCTGGTCAGATTCTGATTTATCGTTCACTGAGACTAATACTCCAGTCTTTGATTAGCTTGCAGTCCATGCTTAGTCCCAAAAAAGAGGTTTGCATTTTTTTTAATCAAAGTGTTGCACACCACTCTGAAACTAGAGGAACTGGCTGTTGATTTCTACCAGTGCTGTTTCCAGTCTTCAGTCCTTTAAAGCTCCTAAGGCCGCAAATACATTTCCATTGCTGCTCCAAGTCTCTCTCCCTTTTTGGAGTTTGAAAACAGTTCTTATTAGCCTTGTACCAGTTTAGGGAGGCTTTTGTACACAAGTAGTATCAACGGCCATGTTTTTGCCCTTTTCTGTTTCAGAGATCATTGGCCTCTCACCCAATCAAGTCCTTTGGGGTCTCTCATGTAGCTTCCATTGTTCGTTACCTCCTTTGTATTTGACTCTGGTTCGCTCAGCTCTTCAGAAAATACAGTTTAAACCCAATTGAGACATTGTTTACTCACCCACATGGGGGGGTTTTCTCTGTGAGGCAAATGTCTGAACTGGCGACTTTTTTTTTCCGTATGGGATTGCGTAGGGACAAGGCGGCCCAGGACTTTCTTCTTACCAAAGGTAGCTACAACCATTCATCTCAACTAGGTTATTGTTCTTCCGTCTCTCTGTCCAGCTCCAGTTCACCAAAATAAAAATGTCCCGCTTTTGTCTGGATGTATTTCAGGCTTTTAGAGTCTCTCCGCCACTGCTTCTTTCAGGAAGTCTGGTTCCCTTTTTGTAATCCCCGAATGGACCCCTTAAGGGTACACTGACATCTTGTTCCACCATTTCTAGGTGGCTTTGGCAGACCATCAGTCAAGTTTATGGCCTCTAGGATCAGGTTCCAGCCCCTCCTCTCACAGTGCACTTTACTAGATCTGTGAGTGTCTCTTGGAGTTTTTGGCCTCACTCAACTGTTTCTCAGATTTGCAAGGCTGCCACCTGGTTTGTTCACTGAGTTCTCCCAGCTAAACATTGCGGTCTCCTTTAATGCCAACTTCTGGTGTAAGGCTCTTCAGGCATCTATTTGAGCTGCAGGTAGTGCCAAATTCTGTATTTCTTTTAGTCTAGTTTTATTTCTTGTGGTTTGCTGTATTGCTAACCCCTCAGTTGGGTGACTTTTTGGTGTTGTGAAGGGAAAATAATTTCCTGATTTTTGTGCTCACTATAAAATCTTTCTTGGAGTGCATTTGAGTGATGCAAGTTCCACCCCTCTTTGTTTCATTATGATCTCGGTACTGCTTTGCTGTAAAACCGAGGCATGCTGCTAGTAGGATAGGTTATCCTGGGATGGTCTACGGTTTTTTTTGTTTGTTTTGTTTCGGTATCCAATTCTCCTGTAGGTACCAGTAAAAACTGAAGCAGAAAGTGTTCCTGTGTCCCTCAATGGACTCCAAGAAAGGATTTTACGGTGAATACAAAAATCCTATTGGCCACTGCAGAAGTGGTTTTGTTTTCAGAGTCTGTGGACCAATGGAATTACGTTGAGAGTGGGAAGCAGGAAAGCACATCTATTGTTTAACACTGATAAGCAGAAAGTAGTGCCCAAGTATAGAACTCTAATTGTGCCCCATGTGCATATGTAAGTACAAACTGCATAGAGACAAAGAGGGGCATTTATCAAAATTGGTTTGCCATGGGCAACTTCTCTAGATTTTGTTTGCTCCAGTTTTGATAAACTCCCCTCAATGTGTTTAAAACACTATTGCACTTTGAGTATATTCTTACTAAGCTGATCATTTACTTGCATGTCATAATAATGAAACTAGTACCGGTACCTTCAATTATTGTAATGATTCTGTTTTAGTATCTGCGAAAATGTATTTTCCCTTCCGGGGACCACTTCTGACCTTCGTTACGAGGGGTCGCACCATCCATACCATGGATTTCCTCTCACTTCCTCATGTGTCTGCAGGGTAGGAAATGAAAGGACATCTCCCACACAGTTAGCAAAATAACCCTGAACGGTTACGTTTCTCACATTATCCAAAAGGAAACAAAGTTTTTGCTATACATGTAGTTTAAAGTAACACCAAAAAAGGGTTTGTTGTGCCTCATGTTTTGCATTGTTTTTGTCATGATTGTTACTCGCAGCATCCAGTTGCTTGTTTAGACCTTAGTTTATGTTTTCTGTCTCCGCAGAATAACCCAGCAGCGCTTTTGAGACACCCGTTCCCTTCCGCCCTCTCCCCACTTCAGCGGGCGCAGCTCCTGGGAGGAGCACAGGTAACCTTCATCTTGCTTAGGTGTTTAAAGGGAACCTGTCGGGAAAGAAGTGTGTGGATTGCTATAGCGAAAATCTCCTGAGAGGCTCTTGCTGACCTTTTTGTCGGACTCAAAAATGCATGGAAAGGCTTCTGACTTCACAGGTTTTATACTAGGTCTGGGTCAGTGCTTAGAAAATATTAAGGAAGGTGGCAGCCAAGCGTCTAGCATTTTCAGGAGTTTAGCAGTGGCAACCTTCATACCTCTCATGAATGTTTCCCTTTTGAAGTTTGTCTTGGCAAAATCTAAAAAGTATGTTTTATATCTCTGCAATCCATGCATCTTTCCCAATGTTTTATCCATTTAAAAGTCTGCAAGTACTGAAATATACCTGTTGATCTGACAGAAATGTTCTGCATGCGTCTTTCATAATAGGTTTACTTTCTGCAGGTCTAATATATCTTAGCAGTGCTTAGTGTGTGCTTTTAGGGAGGTCAGAGCTGACTTAAAGATAGACACAGCAAAGTACAGGTCTTCTACAGCACTACTAATCAGAAATTTTCTATACCCTTGTGTCTCCCTATATTAGCTAAGAATGCTTGTATTAAAACAGAAGATCTATCTACGTTATACCCAGTCTAGGGATGTACTGGTATCGAGTACCGATTTATTTTGATTAATTTTTTCCGGTACTCACCCATACCGAATACCGGTACCGGAAGTCCCATTAAGGAAGCCAGGCGGCGTGTAATGACTCTGCACCTGGCTTGCTGATTAGCCGGGCAGCGTGTAAAGACTCGCCAACCTGCATCCCGATTAGGAGGGAAGCCGTCCCCATGCTTCTCGTCACTAGGTGACGAGGAGGGATGGATCCGGCTTTTTGGCCAATCAGGCCGTGTAATGATGCGGCGCCCGTCTTTCTGTTTGGCATGAGGTTATGAGGGAGCAGAAATCCGGGCAGTGTGTAATGACCTGCTGCCTGGCTTCCTGATACCAGAAGTATCGTGCTAGGCATCGGAGCATTTGGACGAGTACTCACCCAAATACTCGGCATCGATACTAGTATCAGTATCGGTGCATCCCTAACCCAGTCTCTATCCCCTCTGTATGGAAGTTTATTTTGTCCACTGAACATTCAGATTTACCATGGCACTGTGCCTGTTGCCGGCAGAATGCTATTTCTAAGTTTAGAGTTGTGGCACAGCTTCTGTCCTACCTCTGTGCACTGACTCCATCTCTACATTTCTGTTTGGGAATGTCATTTCTTATTTGACCGTCATTGCTGGATACATCGTAACTACACTACCGCCTCCTATTCATATCTAGAACAGTGGATTCTCCTTTGTGTGACCATGATCTTTTACCTCATTATTGTGCAGATGATGATGTAGGAGCTGTGGGTTTGGCCTCACGACTTCAGTCAAAAGGCTTAATTTTTACACCTTACTACCTTTTTCTGAGAGTGCCATCATCCAGTGAGTCCTCAATCCTGACATCACTTATAGCACAGAGCACTGCATAAGAGCTCTCCTTTAGAGCTGCAGCTAACGATTATTTTCAAAATCGATTAGTTAGCTGATTATTAAAGGAGAACTATGAGGTGAGTGCTTTTCACTCACCTCATAGTTATAGCCGACCTGTGACAATGAGACTCACAGGTCGGCTCAGTAGATCGGGAGGTGAGCGAACACATACCGGCGTTCGCTCACCTCTCGATCCTGTCACGGCTCTCTGCCATGACAGGGGAGGGGCTGGATTCCCCGCTCCGATCCGCCAGCGCTGGCTGGTGGATCGGATGGGGGAGGGGGCGGGTACAGCTGGCTCTGCCTCTATATAGGCAGAGCCAGCTGTCAGTCACGCAGCTGGGTGGATCCCGGCACAATTGTTGGGATCCGCTTCAGCTGCGGTGTCTCAGTATACCGCGAGCTACAGCTCGCGGTATACTGAGCCTAGGGTGACGGAGGATGCTAGTTTGTGTCCTCCCATTACCCTAAGGAGAACTATGGGGAAAAGACTTAACCCCATAATTCTCCTTTAAGTTCGATTAGTCGGTTAATCGGATAAAAAAATAAAATGCATTTTAAAACATGGCTCCAGTGATGGGGACTATTAGTTTGTATTGAGATTGTAGTCCATCACAGGAGCAAGCTTGGAGCGGTGGAAGTAAAAAAAGAAAGTGTGGTGTGCAATGGAAAGTGTAAAATTATAAAGCAATCAATGCAGAATGGCACCGGCTATAGAGGAATACAAAACCCAGCAATTGTATATTATACAGCACAATTTAGAATACCACCAGCTATAGAGGAGTACAACAAATCCCAGCAATAGTACATTATAGACGTCCCTGTGCCGATCGTGGATGTGGGCGGGCGGTGAGTGTAAGGCGGGGAAGAGGTGCGGCCTGTGGATGCGGGTGGCGGGTCTGGCAGCGGCGAGTGTGAGGTGGGGAGGAGGTGCAGCGCAGCTTGTGTGGAGCCGTGAACAGGGCCAACTAATCGGAGGCCGATTAATCGATGATTGAAAAAGTTGGCAACTTTTTCAATAATCGATTATGTCGATTAGTTGTTGCAGCCCTACTCTCCATACTGCTTTTCAGACTGTGTTTTGGGCCAGGCATCAGCAAAGCTCTCGGCAGTTTCAGAGCAGTGGTACTACCATAGGTGTTGTTCAGTCTCTGATCATTTTGTCAGTTTGCGTCAGGTTGTACCAATATAACCTGGTGTTAAGCAATTAACTTTGCATTTCTTCCAGTCCCATAGCTATTGTGTCAGTGACCTGCAGTGTGCGTTCGAGTTTAGTCTCTGGATGCACATTGTGGTGAATGTTTCTACATCACTCACTATACCCTTTGGTTTTATGGCAAGGCACTGTGTTCCAGGCGCAATTTACTTCTATAGCTAACCTTTGGTTATGATGCAAATATTAAGGTCTCATCCCTATGGGTTCTGAACTCTATATAGTAGTCCTGCGCTCTGGAATAATATTTTCATTATTGCTCCCACTTTTATATTCGCTTCCTATAGGACTTATTGAAATATCTTTGCATGCCTCATATTGCATGGAAGCATGATCAACCCTCTATGCACTGTTCTGTTCATGCATCATAGCACAGTCAAACTTAGTCGCATTACACTTTGTAGAGTTATTTTGGAGGTTTATATTTTTGCTATACACCTCCCTTAGAACTGAATTCTGTCCCATGTCACCTATCACAATTTATGTACACGACAGGCAATTTTATCTTTTCTTGGTCCATGAGATTGCTTTTTTAGTTGATCCTACACCCTTAGTTCTTAGTCTTCACTGCCTCTCATATTACAAGTTGGCATTTACTGCCTCCTTTTGTCTTTGGAAAAATGGTTCAGACTGAGATAACTTTGTGTTGACATCTACTAGGGACAGTGTTGTGCATGTGCAAACTAGATGTTGCTTCCCGCTGACTTTCAAGGGCTTTTCTCCAAGTGCTCACTTGCCAGTACAACTTTGCTGCCCCATTAGTCTTCAGCCTTGCTGTTCCCCTACTTCCTGTCATTGATCACCTCTAGGTGCCTGCCGTCCTTGCCTGCACCTCCTGTAAGCTGTCTCCGCCCCCTCCCCCGTCCGTTCCGCCAGTCAGCGCTGGAGGATCGGAGCGGGGAATTCAGCCCCTCCTCTGTCATCGCAGAGAGCCGTGACAGGATCGAGAAGTGAGCGCGCGATGGTATGTGTTGGCTCACTTCCCGCTCTACTGAGCCGACCTGTGACAGTCTCATTGTCACAGGTCGGCTCGAACTAGGAGGCTGAGTGATTTTCACTCACCTCATAGTTCTCCTTTAAAAGGAGACTATGAGGCGAGCGCTTTTCACTCAACCTCATAGTTCGAGCCGACCTGTGGCAATGAAACTGTAACACGCTGGCTCAATAGATTGGGAAGTGAGCCAACACATACCATCGCTCGCTCACTTCTCGATCATGTCCCTGCAGAGAGCCGTGACTGTCACTCACGGCTGTCTGCAGGGATTCCTCTCTTCCCCACTCCGATCCTCCAGCGCTGACTGGAGGAACGAACGGGGGAGGGGACGGGTACAGCTGGCTCAGCCTCTAGATAGGCAGAGCCAGCTGTCAATCACACAGCTGGGTGGATCTCGACAGTAATGTCAGGATCCTTCCCGGCTGCCGAGGTCTCTGTATACCGCTATATCTCGCGGTATAATGAGCTTTTATGTCCTCACGCTAGTTTATGTCCTCCCGTGACCCCGAGGAGAACTATGGGGAAATAAACTTACCCCATAGTTCTCCTTTAAATTGATCACTTTATTGTGTATCTTAACCTCTTTGGTCCCAGGTACTGATCAAAATGGCACCTGGACCGGGCGGCTCTTCCAAATCCTGGCTATCTTCATCTCTTGAACCACCAGCTCTTGGTGACGGAAGAGGTCCAGAGCTAGGTCCTGGAGTAAAAATGTTTTTTCTTTTTCACCTGATAATTCTGCCAGTGACACTTTCTATTTACTGGTGACAACGCTTGCTCACACTACAGCATCAGGAAAATAAAAAAAAAAAACAGGACAGAACTACAAAACCTTACACCTCTTTTGTTCATAACATAGAGGGGTGGGATTCTGTAGTCCTCAGAGATCCTTGAAAAATTGCTCACTGATAGCAGTGTGGCACAGGCATACAACTAAACTTATCAGCTGACCAGATTTCCGGCACAATTAATTAGTATGTTTAGTATAGTAGTAAAAGGAACCAAATAATATGGTGAGGACTCATTGGTCAGCATGATTACTTGACCAATGTGAAGCTCTTCTTAGCAAGATAAGCTTTACATTGGTGGTCTGTGTGTGTGTGTGTGTGTGTGTGTGTGTGTGTGTGGGGTGTGTGTGGTGTGTGTCCATACATACACACACACACACACCATACACACACACACCATATACACACACACACACCACACACACACACCACACACACCACACACACACACCACACACACACCACACACACACACCACACACACACACCACACACACACACCACACACGTGTTTAGGGTGTCTCACCAGTCAGTCAGAAATTTCACCTGTCAGCATAACCGGACTATAGCCTTGCAATTTATGTTAACATTTTTTAGGAGCACATAGAACTTCAGCTTGCGGTATTCTGAGACCGACGCACGCGTGACGGATCCCGACATTACTGTCGAGATCCACACAGCTGCGTGATAGACAGCTGGCTCTCCCTATCTAGAGGCAGAGACAGCTGTACCCTCCCCCGTTCGTTCCCCCAGTCAGCGCTGGAGGATCGGAGTGGGGAAGGGGGGGAATCCCTACAGGGAGTCGTGAGTCACAGGCTCTCTGCAGGGACAGGATCGAGAAGTGAGCGAGCGACGGTATGTGTTCGCTCACTTCCCGATCTATTGAGTCGACGTGTGACAGTTTCATTGTCACACGTCGGCTCGAACTATGAGGCTGAGTGATTTTCATTCACCTCATAGCTCTCCTTTTAAGATACTTTTACCTGACCTTTTTTTAAAAAAAAAATCTTGTTTGCGCTGCTGCTTTGTATATCTTGACCTTTTGAGATTTACCATGGCTTCATTTTCATCCATTAGGCAGCCGCTGGCCGGATGTCGCCCAGTCAGTTTGCCCGTACTGCTGGCCTCCATGGACCTACTTTAGCTGGTGTTACCCCCAAGCTTCTACAGGGCCATGTGGGGCCCATGGTGACCCCAGGAGCTGGAGGGTTTCGACCTTTCTTTGGTGTTCCCCCCACAGCTGCACCAGGAGCTCATTTAAAAAACCTGAGGTGAGGAATGGCAGGTGAAGGTCGGATTCAGCAGTTAGACATGTGTTTTTCTTTGCGATTGATGTTGGTTTCTTCTCTTACAGATCCCCGCAACAACGGCAGCCCCTTCCGTTCCTCCCTGACACGACTCACCTTCACCCACAGCACAGACGCCTGCTTTTTCAGCGCCAGCAGAACCGCAAGTGAGTCCTTGGCCTGGATTTCATGTGGTTGTGTGAATGAAATGAAAACTTTTTTGTTTTGGATAGAATGATAAAGGGTTAAAACTTCTGGAATAGTTTCAGTTTACATCCCTGAAGATTTTCCTTCATTGTGTTCTTTGACACTCCTGGACCCTAGGTCAAGAGATAAGAAATCCAGAGGTCACCGGGACAGAAAAGCACCAATGGCGTTGAAAACTTCTAATGTTTTCCCACTGCACTAAACACCTGTTTTTATTGCTCTTTATCTTGATTGGGGCTATTTGTCATAATTTCCTGTCCCACGGAACCCTTTTCACCAGGACCGAGACAGCAATAAAAACTAGAGAGAAGTGCTAACCTGTTGCCATGCTAGCCAAAACAATCTGGCTGGAGTTGAGTTTCATCTAATAAAGTATAGTTGTCTCAGGTTTAGGTAAAAATGTAAAGGCCATCAACGTTATCTTAAAATCACTGTTATCAGCGAGTGTTAAAGTAAACCCTATTTGGAAGAAAAAAAAACTTATGAATTGAGGAAGTCATTGACCTTTAACTGCCAGCAAATACAAATATTTCGGCTGCTGTGGCACCTGGGACAATGTTTACATATCTACTTCCAGCCCTCTAGTTAAAGTGATTCGGGCATCTGTAAAGCTCTCACCTTGTGATTTGCAATAGTCTGATCACTGCGGGAAAAGAGACTGAGTAAATGCTACAGACTGATGACATCCATTCAGCCTAGGCAAAGTCACTTGAGCTAAGGGTTTGTTCACCCTTGCAATAAAATTGCCCATGTATTTCTGTGTCAATAGAGTAGAAAACACTACTTAGATCTTGAAAAAACAAGTTTCTTTTCAAAGTTATGTACAACATGTGCAACCTTTCCCAAGTCTGTCCAAAAAACATAGGTTATGCCACACACACACATAGATCCCCATAACCCCCTCCTGCCTAGGTGTCAGGAAACTGTGGACATTGGGCGCTTGCCCCCAGCTTTGCAGAAGAGAATTCTCAAGCCTGTTAAAAACCTATATATGTGCAGGCTGCTCTCTGCCTCCCCTTTGCACTGCGGCTCTCAGACTGGGAAGAGGGGAGGGGTCATAGAGAAATTCTGTGGCTGTGCACATGTTCCGACAGAAAAAGTTAGAAACATGAGCTCATCAGCAATGTACTCCTGTAATCAAAACTGCACCATAAGCTTACAATTCAATGTAATATACTGTGGGCGGGGCTAAGCTCTGTACTGAGAAGTCATCCTGATAATATTGTCAGGATCTTCCTCTCCCATTGAGTGACAGCAGCTTGTAGGAGCTGCTGCGCGTTCATTGGAACCTGTGGAGGCGCAGCAGCTCAGGGCACATCCTATCAGAGTTAACACTTGCACATCAATACCGAAGTTTGTCATTCTTTACCCCCTCCCCTCTCCCCCCCACACTGCTGTCTGCAGACAATACACAACACATCGGCACTAAGACAGTCAGTTCAGCTCCGTCCTCGCCCCCCTCTCCTCCACTGTGTTGTCTTTATCTCTTTTCGCTGGGTGTATATCCCAAGACAGCAGAGAGGAGGGTGAGGACGGAGCTGAACTGACGGTCTTAGTGCCGATGTGGTATGTGTATTGTCTGGAGACAGCAGTGTGGAGAGAAGAGGGGAGAACGGAAGACAAACTGCAGGATGGATATGCATGTTTTCATAGACCTATGACCTGACATTAATAAACTTTGATAGGATGTGCCTTGAGCTGCTGAGTCTCCACAGGTTCTCACGAATGCGCAGCTGCTGTCACTCGATGAGAAAGGAGGATCCCGACAAGAATTTAGCCCCGCCCACACTATATTGCACTATATTGTAAGCTTACGCTATATTTTTATTACAGGAGTATATTGCAAAATGTACTCTTAGGAAGCTAAAAATGCAAAAAAAAGTGCATCCCATAATTCTCATAGCATAGACTTTCCCATTGCACCCGCTGTTCCAAGTCTTTCTTTATGGAGATTGAAAACTCTCTTGTGTGCTTTGTACTCATTTGAGGAGGACTTTATAAAGAAATAGTTCTAACCCCATTGTGGATCTGGCTACCTTAATAAAATGTTAAAAGCTCTTTAGAGCTCTCTTCTCTTAGGCAGGCCAGCATCCAAGCTTGGTCTCAAGGATTGGGTTCCATCATTTCCTGCCAAGGTGCACTTTAGTACATCTGTGAGTGCCTTCTGGCCTTTTCAGCATCAAGCAACTGTTTCTCAGATTTACAAGGTTGCCACCTGGTCTTCTGTTCAGGTGGAGGTTGCAGCCTTATCTAATGGCAGTTTTGGGTGCAAGCTCCTTCAGGCAACTCTTTGAGTTGCCGGTAATCCCCAAGTTTTTTCTGTTTTGTTTTTTTGACCTGTTTAGGGCTCTTTCACGTGTGCGGTAAAACCAGGCATTGCAGAAGCATTTTTAACACTTCTCTGCCGCCTAATAACGCCCATGTGTGATAAAACAATAGCAACCGCCCAGTGCAGTTCACACATGGGTGTCGGCATTGCGTCAAAAAATAGATTGCTTGTCGCGTTCTGGAGGCATTGTGGCTGGAATAATGCCTCCATAGAAGTCTATTGAACCGCCTTTGAAACGCTTGTTCAACATTCTCTAGAGAGTTGACAAGGCATTAAACAAGTGTTTCACAGGCAGTTTTGCAATAGGAGGGACCCCAAGTTAAGTAGCTAAAACAAAAATGTGCGTGGGGGCCCGCTTTCCGATCCATACCAGACCCTTTAGGTCTAGTCAGAAAGTTAAGGTGCCCCCGAGTAAACCAATAAAAAAAAGTGTGTGGGGTTCCCCCTAAAAGTTATACTGGGCCCTTTACGTCTGGTTGGAATTTAAAGGGGGAACCCCACACCCAAGAAAGCAGGAAAAAAAGAATGTGCGGTTCCCCCTAAAATTCTAACTAGGACATTGATCCGAGCACAGGCCTGGCAGGGCAGGAAAGGCAGGAGACGAGCAAGCGCCCCCTCCATTCCTGCACAATACCAGGCCCTTCCAACTTTCCGACTAGACCTAAAGGGTCTGGTATGGATGGGGAGGGGTGGCCCCCACACACGATTTTGTTTTAACTATTTAACTTGAGGTCCCTCCTATTGCAAAACCGCTTGTGAGAATGCTTGTTTAATGCCTTGTCAACGCTCTAGAGAGCATTGAACAAGCATTTCAAAGGCGGTTTATTAGATTATGGATCGGGAGGGGGACTCCGCGCTGGGTTTTTTTTCCAAGCGTTTTTGACGCCTCACAAACGCCTAGCTAATGCATTGTTAATGCTATAAACGTGTTGATTGTGCGGGCAATTCCCAACGCAGGTGTGGAAGAGCCCTAATTTGTTGCCCACTCAGTTGCACTGCTTATGGATGTCCTCAAGGTTAAATTCTGCCTGTGGTCCCTCAAAGGACTAGAAGGAAAATAGTATTTTTGTACTCACCGTAAAAACCTTTTGTTGAAGTCCTTTGAGGGACGCAGGTCCCACTCTGTACAAAACTGAGGCATGCTGGTAACAGAAGGGATTACCCTTGGCTGGCCTACAGTTTTTTGTCAGTGTCTAATCCTCCTGTAGGCAGCAGTACAACCTGAAGGTTAAAGACTGCTGGTGGACTCCAGGAAAAGGATTTTACAGCGAGTGCAAAAATCCTATTTTTTTCCATAACTGGTAATTTTACAGTTAATACCCTGATGCCTTTTCTCATTAGTTGCCGGGCCATTCTGTCCCTACATTTTTAGAATCTTTCCAATCAGTCATTAAAGTCAAACTAAACTCAGCTGTAGATCCTCAAATCATCTCTGAATTCCTGCTGACACAGTCCTTCCTTCTGGAGGGTGACTAGTTTTGTTCCCCATGGTTCCTGTGTGTGTTGTAAAGTAGCCAGCGCTCCAAGCTCACTCCTGTGATGGACTACAATCCAAGTTTACAAATTAGTAAACTAAATGTGAGATTGACAGGATCTGTAAATGGAGAAACTACAAGAATTAGCACTTTAGAAATCTGGATTTTCAAAAGCCAGAAAACGACGTGTCTGTTTCAGCTACCTCTGTCAGTAGAAAGCAGATATGAGAGCGGCCATAGGAACCTGCTGCTTTTCAAAAGGTACCTGTGAGTGAAATGTGTGACAAAAGTTAAATTAACGTACATTATTGTAACTCGCATGACTAATTTTTGTCTTTAGTCAGCATCGAGGATTGAATGGCACTGGAGGGGATCGCTCTTCCCGCCCCCAACAAACAGAACCTCATCGGCGGGATGCTTATGCAGGTCTAATGCTTCAGCGAGAAAAGGAGTGGGTGTGTCGTATCCAGCTCCTCCAGCTACAGAGCACAGATCCCTATCATGATGACTTCTACTATCAGGTGACTGTGGGGGCCCAAAGATCCTATGAGCTCTTAGGGGTTAGCTGTGTAAAGGCTGTAGTAGTGTGGTTTAAAGGCAAAATCTTTAACTGTCATATTTTATAAATTATGAAATTATCCATGAAATTACAATAAGGTATTCCAGATTAGGTGTCAATAATTAGGACATCTTTAGGGGCTAAGAAAGTGGAACCTATGAGGTGAGTGATTTTCACTCAACCTCATAGTTGGAGCCGACGTGTGACAATGAAACTGTCGCATGTAGACTCAATAGATCGGGAAGTGAGCGAACACATACCGTCGCTCGCTCACTTCTCGATCATGTCCCTGCAGAGAGCCGTGACTGTCACTCACGGCTCTCTGCAGGGATTCCACCCTTCCCCACGCAAATCCTCCAGTGAGGGAGGGGTGGGTACAGCTGGCTCTGCCTCTAGAAAGCAGAGCCAGCTGTCACTCATGCAGCTGGGTGGATCTCGAAAGTAATGTCGGGGTCCATCCCAGCTGCGGCGATCTCAGTATACCGCTAGCTGTAGCTCGCAATATACTGAGCTTTGGGTCACGGGAGGAGGTTAGTATATGTCCTCCCGTGACCCTTAGGAGAACAATGGGGAAAAACACTTAACCCATAGTTCTCCTTTAAACTTCAGATATTTAGGGTATGGTGTTCACTTTGCTATTGACTTGTGTTGTGTCATGATGGCTAGATCAAGAGTTCTCTAATAACCTCAGAAAATAAGGTGTGGAGGGGATGCTTATGAGTCTGGGAAAGGATTAAAAAAGATTGCTTTATTATTTGAAATCCACAATTTCACTAGTAGTGAGGTTTCATGCAAAAATATATCTCCAAGAACCCCAAAGGTTACATTACTTGATTCTCTGTGAACTCTTGCAACATTTGGTGTTGCAAAGGAGGTGTGCCAGGAAAAAGCCTTTGCTGTTCAACATATAGGGAAAGACCAGGCCTTCTAGAAAAACGTGCCTTGCACTGACATATCAAAGATAAAGCTGCTTGGCCACATTAACAGTAGACATGTTGGGTTCAAACCAAAGACTGCATTGAAGGAGGTTGGTAAACTGTGAAGAATAGTGGTAAAAATGTAATGGTCGGGGGTTGTTTTGCTGCTTCAGGGCCTGGGCAGCTTGCAGTCATTCTGAATTCTGCATCATATCAAAGTGTGCTTGATGAGAATGTGAGGTCATCTGTCTAAAAGTTGAACATGAAAATGGTCTTTCAATTAATAAGTATCCAGAGCACACTAGCAAGTCCACCAAGCTCAAAATGAAAGGTGGGG